ATACCTTTGCCCAAGCAATTCTTTTATATTGATTTGCATGTTGTTGTACAACTCTCCGGTGTCGTTGCACCCAGTCATCCCCTAATAAATCTTTGGCTTCAGACCTGGAAGCAACAAAAAGATCAGCACCCAACCATAAAGCAATCGGACAACCTTTGAGCTAGTCATCAGCATCCTGATGTATAGTTAACTTAACCTGCGCACAGATCTGACCATATAGTGAATATTGTTCATAAGGAACAAGTGAGTCAGAGCAGGATCCTTATACTGCTTAGATTTCCCGTCCAAATTGCTTTGAAGAGCCTGCATTATACGCATAGTAACAGCAGCTAGCTGAGAATTTGAATCTCCTCCATTTTCAAATTCTTGGAATAGTTGCTTCAGTGTTGATTGATAGCTGAAACAAAAACATTATGCAACTCGTCAAGGCAATTATGTCAATAAAGACTGACAGCTTATCTACAGGCAGTTCCATTCCTTAAAACAAAACAAATCCAATTCCTATGTACTCTTCTGCAGCAGATGTTTGCTCCAGAATAAAACCAACAAGCCTGGAGAAGCATTTCAGAATAGCCTAACAAGTCGTGGGTTCGAGCCCCACAGTGGGTGCTGTCCTTAAAATTACTTATTATTAAAAATATATATAAATGAAGAAGCATTACGGTGCCTGGAAAACCTATTTGATTTTATTCATACTGTATAAAGTACTTCTGCTTACTGTACAAACACACACACACACACACAGCAGCAGCATATAATGACATGTCCTCAGTTACATATGTTGGAGAAAATGACAAAATACTCCACGATTGTGCAGGTCAGATAGTGATAACGCAGAAACCATTCTACTGTTTCTGACCAAATAATTTAAAGAAAGCTACTCTGCCCACAGAAAATCCAGGAATAAATAGTTTCTGATAACTTATCCAGGAGCAAATAATACTCACTTAAATATTTTATTCTTGCATTCCAGACAAACAACCAAACACATCTTGCTCTTGCTGAATAAAGGTTTCACTCGGTCTGTTGAATAATAACATGTACACTATGATCAACTTCCTTTGAAATATTCTTTTTTGAACTTATTACTTCATTCCATGAAATGGACCTGAATTGAGCGGAATAGATATAGAGGATTCACAGTCAACAGATTTGGAAGAGGCACCGTTGATTGATATTACGTCATTCCCCTACCCTTTTTAGTCTTCTTCCTCCAGAACAATTGCATTCACGAGTATTACGTAAACCTAAAACTACAAAATCTACACTTCTCTTAAAATAGGAATTAGTTGCCCTTGTAATACATAGTAATTGCCCATTTATTTTATACATCCTTTTGAAATCTGACAAATGCTTTCATTACTAATCTCTGTGACCAACTAACTTCACATCTGTCTCATTGGTTCCTTGAGATCTGAATTATGCAACCCACTGACGTAGTACCTCATCACTGTTGTAAGGCAAAGTGTTACCCACCCTCTCACTATATGCGGCCAGTCATCTTCCAGTTTCGACTAATACCACCTCCCATCCGACACTGCATATTAATCACTGAGCTTGACCACCTAGCTTATTCATCTTTAGGCGTCTCCTTTTTGATAACATTATTTTCTCATATGTAACGTGTATACTGAACGCCTTAAAGCTATGAAGAAGAAACAATTTCGACACAACTATTATCAACAAAAAAAAAACTTTTTCGACATAACTCAATTTATCCACCGGGTATATCAGGTGAGCAGCAAAGCGTAAAAAGATGGAAAAACAATAATGAGCTGATCGTCTGTTCTCCCTATGCTTAGCATTAACATAACAGCAGCATGAGGGTCAAGACCTCATACTATATTTGTTTCTCATAGCATAAATGTTAAGCTCAGCTCAGCTCTGGAGGATGATCAAATGCAGAGAGAGAGAGAAAGGCGGGGNTTGATCTGTGAATGAATGAAAACGTAGGGAGGATTGATCTGTGATCGACTGAAAATGAACAATATATCTTCTACTTAACCAGTAACCGCTACCACAAATAAATCAGCTACCACTAACCTCCTACCTTAACAACCTAAATCAACTTCTTAATTTAGCAAGGACTACTTGCTGCTATTTATAATGCATCACAAGCATAGGTACAATCGGCCTGCAACTGGCTGTCACTATAGCATTCCTCATCTGCAATGATAAACATCCCACCAGCTTCATTGTTCCTTAAATCTGAGGCTTCAGAAAACTCTGACCAAACAAAGCAAAACGGTTTTCTGCAACCTTGCAGTCAAGCAAAATTTGATTAAGGTCTTTCCTAAAATATATGCTAATACAGTAGGTAAGTGAATCCTCAAAACCTTAAGGATCCTTCACATTAACCCTCGTGCCCAAATTGTGATTGGTGTTTTACAATTCCATATATGAATCCTGAGGCCCAACGTATTGCTACTACAGTTCTTAGTTTAAAAAGTTGCAACTAACCAGTTCCTTTGTGTGGTTCTATATGGCATGAGTATGATGATACTTATTCATCCACCCTAACGCTGAAAAAACCAAAGAAATACAGAGGTTATCCAGAAACCATGGCAATTAGAGCAAGTCTTATCTACTTTGCTGCTGGCACAAATTCTCATATTATGGCACACTAAAGAGTCCCCGGGATACCCACTCGGAACGTATTCATACAATTTAGTGAAGATGCGGTAAACTAGTAATATACCCTTGGAAGAAGAAAGCTACTATCGGACTTTGCCTCCTACCAACAAGCAAAAAAACATGTTATATAGTTGAGTGAACTTACTCAAACAGGAACTTCACATAATTAATCACATAGCTGGTCAAGGGATGGACAGTTCCATCTGAGACGGCAGTTTTAGTTGCATCCTTCTCAACTGCTTCTTCAAAGTCACTAAAGGTTTCTTGGGCTGTCTGGGCAAGTCGCTTTGTCAAACCAAAGGCAGATTCCCTAATTTCATTGCAAGCTTTACCTATGAAAAGTGATTCAATCTGCAGAAGAGCTCAAACTACATATTGTTAGTATATAAACCATGAAATTTGACCCCACAAAATTAAAGACTTCAACGATTGAGTGTTTGGCCTTGGACTGTCTTCCATGTAGGTAAAATGTTATGAATCAAATGCCTGTTTGCTAGTATTTCTCATACCTCTGAATGAAGTTCCCGCATTATTTCATACTTATCTAGAAGCACAAATAACTTCTCAGGTGATCTTTTGCTTTTTGCAATTGCATCACCAAAACTAAGGAGCATTGCGACACTCGAGGTAGTAACTTCAGCAAAACATTGATCCTTGAGTGAATCAAATCCCTCAAATATTTGATCACACACTTTATGCTCCCCAGAAAATAACAATTTGACCTGTTCAAATAGCACTTTAGTCGAAGGCAAGCTTTTATCTATTTCCAGGGGTATTAGAGAACTTACAGCAATTCGCATAAAATGAATCCAATTTCCAATTTTAGCTTCCAGAACTTCCCATTGCATCTTCTGAACATCATCTTTGCTAAGTTTTTCCACTCCCAAAAGGCGAAGACTTTCTTCCAGTACAGGAGAACGCGTATCCCTATCGAGACATTTATAATCAAAAGAATAAGAAAATAGGCCGAAATGAGGAAAGGAATCATCAATAACTGTTGCAACGTGGATGTAAAAATTTCCAGGAAACTACTACTTATGTTCAATCATAAGAGAATAACCAAGAAACTTTTTCATGTATTTAGAATTGGCCTGATGCTTTCAATTCCTCATTGATCTCTATATATGCATCTCCACACTCTATTAACCCCAATACAACTGGTGAACAACAGAAATACCAAAAGTCGTCTCCTAAAAGAGTTCATCGAATGAAAAGGTAATTAAACCACAACTAGTTCTTTCCTTCTACTCTTCTGTTCTATGATAACTCCTACTCTTCTATTTTCAGGTTGGTTATAATATGAACAAATTTGAGGAAACTAAAAGGTCTCCCATCTATCAAGAAAAGGGCATCTTAGTATTTCACCTTTGAACTCTAAGTTAAAGGTGGAACTTGTAATGCTATAATCAAATTGGAGGTTTTGAGAAAGAGGCAAGGCTAGGGACCTACCTACCTCCCTCCCTCCCTTCTCTTCCTTAATGAGAAAAGAGCATTCTCTACTGCTATCGTTGTTGTTACTACGACTAAAGAATACCAAAAGCCTTAATAACCACTTTGATGAGCACCGTATTTACTGTATTGGACATTTAAACTTCTGCAACAAGCGCAAATTGTGGCAACAGTCTATAAGTTCGACTTTTGGTTCCAAATTAATCCACTCCGATTACGTGTCAAATTAAGCCACACATTGTCAAAGCATGTAAGGCAGTTATCTTAAGCTTCGCCTATTTCTAAACTGCTTAATAGAGAATAGTTCAGCTTTTAGCCGGTAGATTAATCTTTTCTCCAGGATATTATACTTAAAAAGCAACATTGTCTGTACAAGATGTCAAGATCATATAGTTCATGATTAGAAATAGATATTTACCTGTATATTTTTACAAATTGCTGTTGATGACCAGCTTGAATCATCTGTTGGGCTAAATCGTGCAGTAAAGGCAGGATCCTTGGAGGTATAAGAGCTGGCGGTGTGAAGACAGCATTTTCTGCACCATTTTGCTCAGCATTGCTATTGGACAGACGGTTCTTACCACTAGACTCCTGGTGTCCAGGTGATCCAGATGATGGTCGCATTGAATTTGGGAGACACTCAAAGAGCCGATCAGGTTCAACAGGTTTACTGAAAGTGTAGAATTCAGATTTAATCAAAAAACTCCATTGGAAGATCAAATAGCAGTATTTGGGTGCATTTCTACTTCAGTATTGAAGCATCATTTGGAGTATTGAAGGTTAAGAACATAGGCAAGACATAGGATTTTAGAACTTATATAGCAACAGCTTACAAGGATATTCCTCACAAGATGCCCCTCGAATCTCAAACCCTAAAATGGTACTAGGGCATAATCACAACCTATATAAAGGATAACTTAAACAGCACTGAAACAACCATTTTAACTTCCTTATATACTTCACTAATCTTTTTTTTTTGAGATGGAAATACTTCACTAATCTTTATATGTCAAAAAGGAGAAAACTAAAATTCCTATCAATATTGATACTTGAATTTCAAATCAATCATAAGTCTACAAATAGGTTTTCATGGAATTCCTGCTGGGAAAGAATTTACACGCAAAGTATCTAGGAAACAGGATCAGAATAAAGTGTAAAATAAGGTTTCGAGAATAAGTCTACCAATAGAATATGTTGTAAGCAGTAAAAATGTTAGCAAACCTATAAGATAACAAGAGCTGCTTAAACTCCTCTTCGAGCTTTGAAATAGCCTTGGCTAGCAAACTATTAGCATGACTGAGCACTCCATCGCTACTCTTGAAGCTCTTGTTGTTGCTGAAGAAGCGAATATTGTTTCTCAGCTGTTCAATTGCTTGAAGATAACTTTCTAGATCCTCATGTGGCCCTTTAAGTATTTTAACTTCCGCCTAAAATAAAGGTATTATTAATTAAGAAGTTCTAAAATAAAAATGTACATTTAAGAAAGACCAACTTTATCCGAAAAAATTTATCACAAAGATATAAAGGATTCTTCGCAGCTGATAAGGCAAAAAGGGACTACAACATTAAAGTGGATTTTCTTTCACTTTCTCATTTGTGGATCCCAGGGAAGAGCAGTTTAACCAGTACAGCAAAAGCAGAATATTCTTTCTAAAATCATATCCCAGCTACACTCACTTTTTACAGGGGGAAATGTAGCAGCAAACACTTATTCTTTTCAAATTCTACAGGGGTATTTTGCTGGCAGTCTTTGGGTTCAACTTTTACAATCCTGAAGGTTTGGGTATTGGAGAAGCCACTCTTTTGCCCTTCTCTTTTGATCTTGTTATAAAATTGGAGAGCCCAAAATGATAGAAGCTGGAATGAAACAAATTTTCTGCATCATGAAATAAGAAGAAAGAACTGAAAAATTATATAACAAGAAAATATTTTTTTTCAGTTCTCGCAGGTAAGTTTATTCAAGACAAAGCGACATTTGCTCCATCGTGAAGCACCCTCAGATGATGAACATTGACTCTTCCGTCATTGTTTCTGAGAGACCACTTCAAACAAGAACATCATGTTCTTCCACTCTGTGAGCTTGGGGTTAGGATTTGTTTCTCCTTTATCATTCTCCAGGTCCAGGGTGGCTGATAGTGGTTCATCTTTTACAATTTGGCTGTCCTTTAAAGTACGCATGAGTTAGAGAATTTTTGTCCTAACAGTTTCAACTTGATAGAACAAGTAGCGATGGCCGATGAGTTGGTAAGTGAAGAGGTGAAAATGTGAGGCTGGAGTTTGAAGGAGAGGTCATGGCCGGATGGTTCAGAGAGATCTTGAGGATCATGCTTCAAGTTTGAGCCTAAACTCTAGTACCACGAAGAAATTCAAGAAAGGAAATGGATAGTGAAACGTAATTTCTTTCCTGTCCTATGTTCATGTAGGAGGGGTATACTTATACACTACACAAATGTTATCCCTATCACACTTCTAGGAAGATTATGCTCATCTATATCTATTTGTATACATCTGATAGACTGAAACTTATCAAATAGATATTGGCGGTGAGTTCCGGTTTATCTTGAACACTAAGGTCTCATTTGTTTGAACTTAATAAAGGTCTGAATCGTTATTATTCAGATCTCAATCGTTAAGTGTGTTTGTTTCTAGTTAGAATCTTGATCATCGAGATCTCAATCATTAAATGCATTTGATTTTTTTTCTTTTACAACTACTTAGCGGGTCTGCTACATATTTGAATTACTAAGACCTATAATAGAGTTCTAATATTATTAAATGTTATTCATTCAAGGATTTCTGAATAGAAATTATTTCACCATAACTCCAGCCGCCTACCACTGTCAACTACCACCACCAAGTCACCACACTCAGCTGTCACCACCATCAATCACCACATTCAATTGTCACCACTACTAACCAACATTTACAATATCACCACCAACAACCGTTACCATGACCACCACCAATCACCACCGGAAATCACCGGCATGAGCCACCGTCACATATCGCCAACCACCACTATCGGGCTGTTAAGCACTTCCCGAATATATTCCTTTCTATTCTGTGGACACCGCACAAAAGGGACCTTGGCTTCACTTGTCGTGGTAAGACCACCTCTTTATAAGCTTTCCCTATCGCTCTGATGAACCTCTTTCCGCCTGTTCTCTAGAGTTCAACAACAGATTTTTGCCTATCCCTTCTTTGTCCATTAAGATGAAGGACGACTAAGCAATTATGCTATCATTGGAACCCCAAACTAAAAACTACAACTAGAAATCCAGCTTTAAGTGGTCAATATTATCAGAAACTCAATCTCTGGAGAATTTTATTGACAAGCATGAGTGACGAAGGGTCTTGTGTTACAATTTTTGGGGGTAAAGAAGATGTTCTTGTTCTTCAATTCCCTAAACTCATTTCAGTTTTCAAGATTGGGTTGGTGTTCTGATAGGTAAGAGGTGTAAGAACCGCGAGGTGTGAAGCCTGATCGTTCTAAAGAATGAAAAATTTTAGAAAATGAGAGATTTTAAAAAAATAAGTAAAAGTATAATGAAATATAGTCAGATAATATTATGATCTGAACGCCATCTTTCAACCAATTTTTTGGAAATTCTGTTATTGACAAGGGCAATATTTTGCTTGTACACCAATCGAAAAGAGGCAGCTGCAAATGCTATCAGTGGTTCTTCCTTCCTATCCCATCTATCTATAAGAGAGGCAGCTGCAAATGCTATCTTCCTTCCTATCCCATCTATCTATAAGAGTTGCTTGATTCACCCCAACATTCAGTTGTCACCACTACTAACCACCACTTACAATATCACCACCAACAACCGTTACAATGACCACCACCGACACATATCGCCAACCACCACTATCAGTTGCCACAACCACCACCATTAACTATCACCAGCACCCACCACCATATTCATGTTCAATTAAGTAAACTAAAAGGAGCAATGTCTATCAGATCTAAGCAAACCAAACGACAAAACAAACTATAGAGGCTAAAGCAAAATCAAACCTGACGAGAAATATCAAATTGGGACAGTATAACCTCAGCAGCCTTTAAAGTCTTATCAATATTTCCATGAGCTTTCCTAATAGCATGAGTCCTTATCTGCAAACAATACAAGATTGACTAAAACTGATCAAAAATGTAATTGCAAACAAATTAGCAAGTACTGACCACAAAATTAGATCAGGAAAAAGGAAAATTGCTGACCTGAGTGGGACGCATAGCAGTGTCAAGAGCAGAAAGGCGGTGATCAAAAGAACCCAAGATATTGACCACATTGTCTGTAATGGATTGACTCTTCTCCACTGCATCTCTCATCACTTTTGCTCTTTCACTTAGCACATCTACACCTCCTCCTGTGTTTCTTGGTATACCCATCTTCTTCAGTTCTTCTGTGTGTGTGTGTGTGTGTGTGTGTGTGTGTGTGTGTGTGTGT